ATTAAAGATTAAAACAGTTCGGCCCCATTCTCCAAGTCCATGGAAATAAGTGGGAGGTGTAGAAGTGTTCATCTGCTTGACCTTATTTGTGTGTGGAGCAGGTCTGTGGTTGAAGAGGCCTCTCATCCGCATCGGATCAACACAGGCACAATAGAGCAGTTCCTGCTTTGTTTTATTTTGGATTCTTTTCTGGGGATATTGTTTTCTTTGCATTTGTTTTTTTTTAAAAAAAGGAATACACTTCTGTGTCTCTGTAGTCAGGCTGAATTAATTTAAATACAGGTGTTGCCTTTGAAATTTCTTTCTGACTAATGTAGGGAGTGAAGCGGGATTTGAGGCAAACCCAGCTTTTTACTAACCAAAGAGCGAAGGGCTTTCCTGCTGAGTTAAACTACTGCCTCTGGAAGAGCAAAATAATAACAGTTATTGACACTGTTAATATACTCCTCCTTCTCCAAACAGCTGAAAGTTCAGGAGAGACTTTACCAGGCAAATCTCCATGGGAGATAAGAGCAATGGAGGAGCACTCTGGTATTTTCACCAGAATCTGTCTTAAAGAGTGTGGAGCAGGATGTTGGGCCTGAGTGTAGGATATTCAATTGTGCTAATCCTAAACCAGCATCTGTTCAACAACCATGTCAAAATCAGTTTATGGCCAGCTTGCAAAATCCAAAATGGCGGTTCAAATTTTCCAGTACAGATTTAGACTGGCTAGGGGAAAGCCACTGTTTTAACTTCATCCTGGTTTTAAATGAGGTGCTGCTACTTCTGGTTTTGCCTCTTGTCTTCATCATCGTCAGCTCTCATAAAGGCAGGATATGTGTTTTTTTAAGAAAAATATATTTCTATATTTATTTCTATACAGTGGTGGGATTCATTTTTTTTAACTACGGGTTCTGTGGGCATGGCTTACTGGGCGTGGTGTGGCTTGGTGGGTGTGGCATGGCTTGATGGGTGTGGTGTGGTGGGCGTGGCAGGGGAAGGTTACTGCAAAATCCCCATTCCCTCCCCACTCCACTAAACTGCTTTCCAGCTCTGTTCTCTTGTGCAGGGCAACAAAAGAAGACCCAGCCAATCAGCTGGGACTCAGGAGGCAGAGAATAGATGGGGCCAGGGCCATTCAGAGGTGGGATTTGCCGGTTCCCCGAATTACTCAAAATTTCCGCTACTGGTTCTCCAGAACTGGTCAGAACCTGCTGAATACCACCTCTGTTTCAATATCAAATTTATATGGCTGCCTATTTCACTAGATGTGACTCTGGGTGGCATACAACAAAGGGATAAAACAATAACCATGTTTTTTTTAAAAAACATCATTATTAAAAAGCACAAAGCACCTAAGAGATTATATTGGCAAGGAAGCCACCTCAAGATCTTGAGGTGGCTCCCTTGCCAATATAATCTCAGGTCCAAAGACATAGCTAGGATTTGAGGGACTTGCAGAATATAAGAAAGAATGGACCTGACCTCACCTCAGGGTGAAGATAAGTGCTGCGGCAAAAGAAGGCCCACCTCCTGGGACCCACCAAGTATAGTTCCTTAACAATGGGACCCACAGCATACCTCTTCTGCCGGATTTGATGGGATGGACACCTGCAATTGGGAAGAGCTATTCTCACAAGTAACATTTTCCATGTTTTAGCAAGCAAGCATTCAATAAATAGCATTCACACCGATTAAAAAATGACAGCCAGGTTGACACACTAAAAAAAACAACCCAAAAGCCAATACCTCTGAAAGTCAGTGATAGGTAGTATTGGTCCCATTGGGCCAAAGCAAAGTGGTTCAGGGGTGTATGCCATCTTTTGAAGCCTGCAAACTCTTTATCAGGAAAAGTGCACAAAGCAGAAAAGTCCAAAAATCAGCCCACCAATTTTAGCCATCAAATCTGCAGTTTACAGTCAGTCTCAAGATTGCAAATTGAATATATTCATTAGCAATAGATTAAACGTCACATTCAGGAACAAAGAATAAAGAGCTGGCATCCCCCATTTTTTAAAAAAACTTAATCTCCAGTCTGCCTCCTGCTTTGCTATGTATCATCATCCCCAGTACCATATTGAAATGGGGGGGGGGATGATTTGCTTTTAAAGAAGATTAGGGTTTGGTATAATTGGGTTGATTCTGTTCTTCATGCCTACTGAATATGAATAGCTGTGAATAGAAAGAGGGTAGAAGAAAATGTCTTCCAGGCAGGGGTGGGATTCAAATTTTTTAACAACCGGTTCTGTGGCTGTGGCTTAATTGGTGGGTGTGGCTTAGCGGTCATGTGACTGGGTGGGCATGGCTTGGTGGTCATGTTATTGGCTGGGCGTGGCCAACTCAATATCACTCACATCGAGGCACGCATCTCCTCGCCTGGCCTCTCATGACTGTGGGGATGCTGCAACAGTTGTAAGTGTGAAAAATGGTCATAAGTCACTTTTTTCAGTGCCATTGTAACTTTAAATGGTCACTCCACACAAGCAAAGTACCAGCAAAAGAGGGAAAGAAAACTCCAGAGAGGTTCCTGAGACAGGAAGTCTAGTCCTGCCAAGAATGTAATAAGGGTTAATGGAGAGGCAGTTTCTGAAAGCAACACCAGAATGTTTCCTTCCTGCCTTCCTTACAATTTCTTCTAACAACCGGTTCTCCGAACTGGTTAGAATTTTAACAACCGGTTCTAGCGAATAGGTGCGAACTGGTAGAATCCCACCCCTGCTTCCAGGGTTAGTGAGGCTGCCACTGTCTTCGGCCCTTTGCTTAACAGAAGCTTGTCACATTTCAGTTTACTAAGTGATGATGCATTTCCTGGCAGGAGCACAAGTGATGGGTAATGTTTCATTCAATTTCTCTGTGTTCATTTATTATGAAAGGCCCAGGGTATTGGCCACAACCATCACAAAAAAACTGAGATTCCAGTCTCCAGTGTCTGAAAAAGTTGGCCTACAAGGGTTCTGATAATCTTCCTTCATCATCATTCTAGCCATTGTCTATCCACTGCAGAAGGAAGCCCTCTTTTGCATGTTTCCAACCAATATGGTCTTGAGCTTTCTTTCCTTTGCCAATTGGGCCTGCAATAATTGCTAATGTCATCACTCCATCTTATTTTAGGTCTCTTTTGTGGACACTTTTTATCAAGTGGGATCCATCCTATGACTGCCTCAATCCATCTGCCATCACGTCTTCTTTCTATGCGACCAGCTCATTTCCATTTCAATTCTTTTATTCTTTTGATGGCATCGTATATTTTCATTTGTTCTCTAATCCATGTGGGGGGGTCTTTCTACCTTGTCTTGCGATGCCGAGCATGTATCTTTCCGTGGCTCTTTGAGCCACTCATAGCTTTTGTACTGATTGTGAGTTTGATTCTCTCTAGACGCTCCATCACAATGGAGCGTCATCCACGTCACGGTTGTCCCAAAGGGGCTTTTTTTCAAGAGGCAACTGAACTTTCTGGTTTTTTTTCCTGGAAGAGGTTTCACTTCTCATTCAAGAAGCTTCTTCAGCTCTGACTGGATGGCAGGGAATGGTTGACTGGATGGTCAATCCCCACCATCCAGTCAGAGCTGAAGAAGCTTCTTGGATGAGAAGCAAAACACCTTCCAAGAAAAACCAGAAAATCCAGTTGCCTCTTGAAACAAGCACCTTTGGGATGTTGATTGTGAGGTTAGTGTCCATGTTCCCCCCCACCCCCGGCATATTTTAGAGCAGGTAGCACACACTGATGGAGAATCCTCCTTACTCTGCCTATATTGGCATTGAGTAGAATTAGAATTAGAATGCTTTTGTTGGCTAAGTGTGATTGGACACACAAGGAATCTGCCTTGGTGCAAACGCTCTCACTAGGTTAATCCTCTTCCTAAAACTATCATTGAAATGGGAGAACCATCCCGTTTTGTACCTGCCGGCCCCCAACTGGATCGAGGAAACTTTTGCCTCACCGAGGAGGCCCCGCCACTCAAACCACACCCAGCCAGTTATCCCCGACGCGGTAGGCGGCTTGTTTCTTTAAGGAAGAGCCGCCGCGTGTGTCTTCAGTAGCTATGGTAACTTTCAAGTTGAGGATGCTGGGTGCTGCTGCTGCCGCTGCCGCTGCTGCTGCTCCTCCTCGGGGCGGCTGAAACTGCGGACGGCTGCTCCGGAGGCGAGCGCGGTAGCTCCCATACAACAGGCGGGTAAAGGAGCCGCTCGCCGCCAAGTCGAGCAACTTGGAGCTCGGCGGCGCTTTGCAAGAAGAGCGAGAGAAGGAGGCGAGGCGCGGCCCGGCTCGGCTCTGCAAAAGGCTGCGCCTGCAATGCCGCCCCGGGAGCTGAGCGAGGCTGACTAGCGGCGCCCGGGCTGTTCGGGACTCGCCGTCGGAACATGCGAAGGCAGCCCGAGCAGATCGAGGCATCGGCCGGCGCTGCCGCAAGGACTTCGGGCTTCCACAGCCGGGACGTCGCTCTGGAGTGGGAAGCGGCTGTGCCCCTGCCCGGCCAGGGGAATGGGGACCCTGCCTGAGCGGGAGGCGGCGGCGGCGGTGGGGTCTTTCCAGTTAGGATCCAGGGGCGGCAGCCGCCCGGGCTTCCTCCTCTCGGCTTTCGGCCGGCCGTTTGCAGGGCTCAGCGAGTCACGTCGGACTTCGGGCCAGCCTGCGCCAGGAGTTGCCCCGCCGCCGCGCACCGGGGAAGTGGTGGCCGCTCGCCTTCGCTGCAGTCGGAGCTCTTCGGGGGCGCCCCTCGCCTCTGTCTGACCTCGCGGTCTCTGCCGTCGCGGCTGCGGTCGCCTCCCGTCTGGGCGCCCGTCTGGAGGAGGAGGCGGCGGTGGCCCGCGGAGCCTCGGCACGAACCCCCTTTCCCCGCACTCCCCCCCCCCGTACCCCTCTGGCAGCAGCAGGCGGAGAAAGCCCCGCTTCCCCCTGGCCTGTCTCCGGGAGAGGAAGCGAAGGGCCCCGTCTCGGCTCCCGTCCTTCTCAGATACCTCTGGGTTTTTTTCCCCTTCCAACTGGACGATGGCGATGTCCTTGAGCAAGTCTTAAAATGCCGGTGATGAGGGGCCTCCTGGCTCCCCAAAACACCTTCCTGGATACCATAGCAACCCGCTTTGATGGCACGCGTGAGTTGGCTTCCCACTCTTTTTTTTTTAACTCCCCTCCTCCTCCTCCTCCTCCTCTCCCTCTCCTCTCCCCTTGTTGTCTGGTCTTCCCTAAGGAAACTTCCCTAAGAAAACACACTTCCAGGTGTTTCTCCCTGTCTTTCTCCCTGTCAAAGATCTCTTCTTCCCTTCCTTTCTCTCAGCCCCATCCTCCTTCACCTTTGTCACCACAATCCTGAACCGATGAAGTTTGTACTTCTCAAGAAAGGTTGGACGTCCCTTTTTGAGGAGGGAACCTAGTGTGACATCTGTATGTTGACCTACTACTGAGTCATGGCATGTGTTGCACATGCAACGGAGGCATGTGGGAGAGCTGTGAGAGAGATGGTGGCTCTCCAGAACAGGATGTACATGCAGCACATACATATAGGTCCCACACGGTTCTTTGATGATCTGGTGAATTTCTTCTAATTCTCTCCTAAAGTGCAAAGCATTCTTGAAGCCTTGAGAGTTTGATGTGGTTGGAACTTTTGATCTTTGCCATTAAGGTTGGCAGGAATAATTCCTCAAGCATGCATCCATGGGGAATTTTGTCAGGTGGATCTTGTCAGGTTAGTGAAACTCCCACCTGGCATGTCAAGGGCTACAGCAGATCTCAGCCTTTGCATCTGGCCATCCAAGGGTTGCCATATCGAACAGATTTATCCTCACTCATTAATAGAGGAAGTATCTTTGAACGTGTTGGACATCCTTGAGAGTGAAAATTGACCCAATGCATCATTTTTAACTTCATGGAAGCAGAATAAAGTCTTCCCACATACAAATATTGTGCAGTAGTTCCCTCAAAGCCTGAAGCTTCAAGTTGGTTTCCTATTAGAGAATAAAATGTGTGGGTGGTAGAATATATAGTATGGACCTCTGATATCATGCAGGCACATCAACAACATATAAACATGTGAACCCAAAAGATTAGAAATTAAATTTAGAATGTGTGAATTGGGAAGTTGGGTAAAAGGACACTGGGTATGGAAAGACAATACTTTCAACCATGTTCCTGCCCCATAATTTGCTTTATGAAGAATGATTTTGTTACCCTTATAAAATTGATCATATATGTAGCTCAAGGTACTTAGAATGGAGGCCATTCTTTCTTTCTTCAAATAGTAGAGATGGGTGAAAGTAAATCTTAACTCACAAGTTGGTCTTGAACCTAGTTCTCTCCAATCAAACTCTACCCATTAAGCCTTCTCCTTGATTCTGCAAATAATCTGCACACACATATTTGATTTTTATCATGCCTTTATTCGTTTATAAGTAACTCCAGGCACCCAACAGACCTAATGCTCCTTTCCTGTCCTATTTTCCCCACCACAAGAACCCTGTGAAGTAGATTGAGCTGAGAGAGAGTGACTGGCCCAAAATTTCCCTGCCAGTTTTCATGCCTAAGGCAGATCTAGAACTCAGAGCCTCCTGATTTCTCGGTGGTTACTAATTACTTTCAAGTAATTGTGCGGAAAATAAAAGAATCAACTGTTGACTGTTGCTTATGAAAGAATGGAGGCACTTTCTGAAAGATAGAGGTGCTCTGTATATATGGGAAACAAGGATTATAATGCTCCTTACTGTTTTTTTTTCATTGCTAATTTGGGGAGTAATTGGGAAGTCGGAGAGATGAATTTCATCGTGGTCTTTCCCTCCTGCTCTGCATGCCAAAATGAGTCATCCTATCACGAGGGAAGAGAACCAAAGATACTTTAGTCACACAATCTTTAAAGAAAACTTTTTAAAAAACCAAGTCAGGGCTTCATTGGCTTTGAAAAGAGAGGGGAAAAAATGGTAACTTCGAATTAGTATCCAATGATAAGTTTATGGTTCATGTCTGTCATCGGAGATTGAAGCACCGAACGCATTTAACGTTGAAACCTATTACAAAATTATGACACGGTCTTCGTCATAGTTATCATGTGTCGTAGCTAAGGAACTATAGGCCACTTACGGTATGTGGGATTTGGTCCCCAGTAATTCGCCCTGCAACTTGTACGTCACCATCCTGTCCTAAGGCTGTTTAGTTAAGAAAAATCTCTCTGGTTCACCCATGTCTCCCTCTCCATCTAGGCTGCGTGGTATTTTCCACCCGAAAATACTTTCTGAGTAGGAATTGCATAAGGTGTGAGGTCTGCTATAGAGAGTCTAATCAGCAAACATGTTTCTTGTTGGTTTATGTGCGTTTAGATTTCATCTCTGTTTTTATCTCCCACATCTGCTTGTCACACTTCTAACTTCTACCTAAGCTGGTAGAAGGAAGGGGGCAGTCTACATTGGGAGAGGGGGAAAAAAAAGCTTTTCTGATCACACAGAAGCTGTATGCCACCCCACCCCATCCCCCACTCCCAGATGTTGTCTCTGCCTGGCTTTCCTACAGAAGATACAAGGGTTTCCCCCCACCCCCCATGGCATCCAAATGAGAGAAAGACTGAGAGAGAGAAAAGATGTACAGCAAATTGCAATGCCTTTGGAATCTTTGGTGCGTTTCTATTTGATCTGATTTCTGATGCTCGGAAGAGCTCTCCTCCAAAAGCCTGAAAATGACCTCCTTCAGTAAAGATAGGGGCTTTACAAATCTAAGGACAGGGGTCGTTCTGATTGGGAGGGGGGAATGTCTGCTAGGCTCTTAAAGAAGAAAAGAGGGGATTTCCTTCTCTCTCCTGGTCTTCTTGCCTCCTCTTATGTAGAAGTCTGTGTGGGTTGAGGGTTTTTTATTTTGTTGTTGAATGCAGTGGGTGGTGGAAGGGAGTCTGTTGAGTGTAAAGCCACCTTATAGGTGAGAGGGACAGCATATAAATTTAATAAATAATGTAGAAATAAAATGACCCAACATTTCATTCCTTTCAGAATGAAAGAGACTCTGGTTCCATTGTGTCTTAGATGCCCTGAGGGTATTGTCCTGCGATCAAGCACCTCTGTTTTATTTTATTCCTTGAATTGCAGTCTGAGTTCAGTGTCATCCAGCCAAGGGTAGCCTTCCGAAGAGTTAGTGCATCGGCTTTGCTTGTTGGTTGAATCCTTCTTGCATAATCCAGAGGAGGTGGATTTAGGTACCTAGGGATTTCCAACAATCAAGTTTGCTTAACACAGATGGAACAGTTGATCTGGCAGAATTAGTTGAACTTTACTGGTGTGTGTGTGTGTGTGTGTGTGTGTGTGTGTGTGTGTCTAAATTTTTGAGGGATAGAACATCCTTGTTCAGGTTAGTGGATCTGGAAAAGAGTGGACTTGGAGTCAGGAGGGGAAGAAATTTTCTTCAATAGGAAAATCAGTTTCTAACATAGGCCTGTTTGGATAAATATCGTTCATTCCCATAAAATATATGAAGTGGAGCTTTCTAGAGCCATGTTCGCGGGAAGGTTGGAATTCTGAGAACTGAAAATCCAATACACATAGAAAGCGCCAGAATGGTGACAGCTATCTTAGTAGATTGTGCTCAAAATTATTAACATATCTGCTACTCATAGAGAATGCTTATAAAAATAAATGTATATTTATTATATTTCGGGGGGGGGGGGTAAGTCAAGGACTACCTGTATTCCATTTTCTCTGCATTTAACAGTGTTGGTCACTAAGCGATGCTGGTTTGAATTTCTTAAAATATAGCATAAGCATCTTTTCCATAGCCATTGAATTGCAAGGCACTAACCAGAAACTACAACATTGGCTTCATAAACGGACATATTTGGAAATATTTTCTCCTGACAATGTATGTGAGTGATTGTGTGAGACATCAGTTGCATGCAGGTAATTCCTGGTTCAACCTATGACCTTTCAGCAGAGTTACAAAGGGTTTTGGGGGATTTAATCCCAAGAAGACAGGATTTAGAAGGGGAAACTTGCTGAGTTAGATAAAATAATTAATTTGGCATTGGTAGGGCTGGAGTCTTTGGGAAGATTAAGTCTTAGGCCTGGAGTTTATTCCCAACAGACTCTACTTTGGGGAAGCACAGACTGTGGCAATAACTAGATAAGTCTTGTGCCAAATTCATTTGATTTCTCATTTGCAACTTTACCTAGGAAAAGCAGATTTGGCTTCCGCTGCATTTTCTCTAGCTGCAAACTGACTAGGCTTCTGTTATGAATCCTATTTGGGGTGGCACATCAGAGGTGGTATTCAGCAGGTTCTGACCAGTTCTGGAGAACCAGTAGCAGAAATTTTGAGTAGTTCAGACAACCAGTAGCAGAAATTTTCACTTGTTTGAAATACCACCTCTGACTGACCCTGCTCCCATCTATTCTCTGCCTCCCAAGTCCTAGCTGAATGGGCTGGGTCTTCTTTTGTTGCCCTGCACAGGAGAACGGAGGTGGAAAGCAGGTTAGTGGGGTGGTGTCAGGCAGTGCTCCATTCAAAATCCAAGAAAGAAATACTTAGACTCTTTTAATTAGAGTAAAATATATCTTTTACTGGAAATGAAGTGGTAGCAACAATAGAATTCTGAATCTGAAGAATTAGGCGCGTAAACCACGTATACAAAGTGATGGAAATGTTCCCACCCCCAATAGTTCAGATGAGTCTTCCAATTACAAGTTGTGAATATGGTCATGTGGACCACCTCAGGTGGTGATGAGGCTTCTGTCCGTTGACCTTGGCCATACTTTGATAAAAGTTTGCAGTTGCGCAGAGGAAAGAAAGCTAAGCAAGAAATAGAAACCTAAGCAAGAATGTCCTCTTCCCCCTCCTCATTTTATACAACACTAGAATGTAACACCTCCAGCTCGCTTCCCAGACTTTACCCCCCCCCCCCCCCCGTTACTTATGACAGCCGAAAGATGCAAAGCAATAGTAGAAGATCTTGAAGGCTGACAGGTGGAGAGGGAATGGGGATTTATCCTTCCCCTACCACGCCCAAGCCGTGCCCACCAAGCCACACCACACCTACCGAGCCACACCCACAAAACCATAGTAAAAATTTTTGAATCCCACCACTGCATGTATGTGCCAAAGACATTTTTAGACAATAAAAGGGAAATCA